ACTACAATTTCCAAATATGGTATGATGTGTAGTCATGTAGTCATTTATGTCATAATTATGGGAAGGGTATCTCCTTAAACTCATGTCAAACAGTTTTCTAAATATATTTTTTATGATTTCAGCAATAACTGTACTAACAAATAAGGCAACTCAATAAAAAAATCATAGTTCGTGTTTTAAACATCTCTATTCACACTTTGTCGCCAGTTCATGATATCTGCAATAGAACTTGTATTTTGATATAAGACGTTCTCCTAAAAAATCTTGATTTAGCAGCTTCGAACGAAGTCTATGAATTTTTAAATTATATCTTGTGCAAGGTCTAGCATATCGAGCAAGCTAGGAAACTTATACACCATATAAGAGAGAAACAGAAATATTACTACAAGAATAGGAGAGATTGATAATGGTAAACTCAAAGTCCCCTCTTTTGTCATACAGTCTAGTTGAAATAAAAGACGACATCCAGATACAGGCTATGAGTCACATATAAAACCTGATTATGTTGTTTCTTTGATGTATGTCGTTGTCAATGACGTAACCGATTCTGCTCATGAGTGTTCATTTAGTAGCTGTGAGGGCGCGTTCATAAAGATGTTTGTAGCCGACTCTTGTTTTGATACGTGAATGTGACGTTCTGGTGTGCGCGTCTACATAAAGAGGTAAGGTGCTGGGTCGTGAGTTTGATTATTGTGTGTGCGGGGGATTGTATGTTTATTTCATATTTGATTAATACTCCAAGAAATATAACACCAGAGGCTTTTAGATACATGTTTGATGATTACAAAAACAAAAGTTCAGATGTTGTAACGTTCTTGATTGAATTACTATACATTCTTTGATTAAACATTCATAATAATATCTTCCACCAACAATATTATTGGCAGCTTCAACAAGGATCGAAACATATCTGTCAAGGAGAGAAGCAAAACACTTGCGTGTTTCCAGATAACTGAATACAAATTTGGGTCTGCTTTGGAAGCACGATCGATGTTTTCTGATACGGCAGCATATGACACCTCAAACGGCTTTGGTTCATTCTAAAAGTGTTACAGTTCAACCAACTCCCATTAGCCCTTTGAGTCCATGATGATTTTAAAATTATACCGTCAACTGATTTCACAAGGCCAATGTGTGGCACATTATTGCGATCACCCAATGGGGACATAGTTAAATGAAGTAGACAAGCAGTCACGAGGTGTATCACTAGGATGAGAGTTATCAATATTTATACGTCGCAATGCTAATATCTGTGTCGTGGTCATTTCAGCCATATAGAATGACAGTAGCCAATTTCTAATGCAGAAGTATTGTTTTTCTCCGTGGGAAGGTGAACTCAGTGTGGAACTATCGGTGAGACGTTATTAAACCTACAACGGAAACACGCATTGACAACATGAAGTGATTATACTGGATGTTATATTCATAAATTTCAGAGAATTATTCATTTCATAATATAGTTCACACACCATAATATGACATATATACGGGACGTGCCTTGTGTTGTCGAGCTTATCTGCAGTACAGGTCTAACAAATCAACTTCTATGATAGCCTCTTATCTTATACGTCTTCAGCAATGCTGTCACGCAGTGGGGATCCATTAGTGAAAGTTTACTTATGTTGTGTTGAATTGAATGTACTTAGTAATAAATTCAATAATTCACCACAATATGTAATATTTCTATTATTTGATAATTGAACCCCAAAGGTCGCTAGTGCGTTAGATTAGTCTGGATTTAGCTTTCTACCTTTCTGCTACACTGCTTACAAAACTGCACTACAGATTTAACATTGTGCTTGTATGCAGGGAGTATCAGCACTCCACCGCTATTCTGCTAATAAAAAATATATCAGTGATAAATATGTGTCAGTCCAATGTTGTATTTCGATCACGTATGCATACATGAAACAGCTCAGTCAGGTTGAGTTCCTGATTTAGACTTCGCCGTAATAAACACATATGACAACTGGATTATTGCTATGTGAATTAAAAGAGGCTTCTAACTAAATGATTGGTTATTCAAAATAGCAAACAAATCTGGGATACCAATGTTAGTAGTGAAATAAATCACTTTTTATCCAAACTATGACAATCTAACATGAGGCAGCAGGTCAGTGATGTCATATCTATTTTCATTTATACAAAATGCTGACCTACGCATTCTAAAATATCACCATGGAGCTGAATTGTGGCATACCATTATGCTACAGGGGAACGAATGTGTAGAATATGTACAATGGTTAAACTCTACTACCTAATAAGCACGTGATATATAATTGACCACATATCAGTTAGTAATGTTCAGTTGTTAGTGGCGAGGCTCTACACTATGTTAATGTTCGTAACACATCCGGGTATTTTCTGATGTTCACAATTTTGAGTACCCACATTTGCTGCTGGTACACACTAATCTAGGAATTGTTGGCACAGATGCAAACTAGTCGCCATTTTCCAGTATACAAGGCCAGTGAATTAGAAGACTTACCGGTAATTAGCTATTTTTTGTTTATACAGTAAGTTAGATTAGTTTGGATTTGGGTATATACAGTAAATAAATGTATTCAAAATAATTGATCAATGGTGAAGACAATCTCTGGGGAACAGCTACGTAGATTGGCGGCGTCCTACCTTCCTCATACACTGCTTAAACAACTGCGCTACAGATTTGACCTCGTGCTTGTATGCAGGGAGTATCAGCACTCCACCACTATTCTGCTACTAAATAATTTATCAGTGATAAATAAGTGTCAACCCAACGTTGTGTTTTGATCACGTATGCTTACACGGAACAGCTCAGTTCGGTTGAGTTCCCGACTTAGACTTCGCTGTAATGAACACAGATGAAAACTAGGCACTATGCCATGTGAATGTTCGTAACACATCCGGGTATTTTTTGTGGTTCACAATTTCGAATACCCACATTTTCTGCTAGTACATACTATACCAATCTAGGGCTTCGTTGGTCACGACGCAAACTATTTTTCCCAGTATACTAGATTTTTAATGTTTAGAATTTTTGTGTTTTCTGAATCACGTGAACTTTTAATATATGTAATTTGTGTATGTTGAATTTAAAAATGGTATGCTTCTTAATCGATTTTGACCACATCACTTATGATACAATGGGACATGCAGTTATAATGTCATCAAATAAATAAACGTCACGTTACTGAGTTCAATGATTATGATAAACATAAATATACATAAAAAATATGCATAGACTTTTCGACGACCATCTTTTGGAGAAAATCCATATTTTTGCTACGACTCGACTAGTGAAACAATTCAGAAACACTTGCATAAGTACATCCCATACAATAACTGCTTCCCCACTGACTACTCACTGTAACGTGTTTAATGTAAAACACATAAATGAACTACAATTCTTGGCTATCACATAAGGATAGAAAATAATCAATCACATCCAATAACACAGCTTTTACCCATTTGAGTTAAAAATTTAAAAAAATATTGACCATTTGTGACTCGGGCAGTCAAATGAACGTGTCCTGACTATGTATATCCAATACTCATGAATACATAGTATTTTTTTTCATTGCAACTATTTTAACAATGATTTTTATTTTCGCGCGGAATCACATGAACCATTTGTTTCACTGCCCCATATTATTATTTTTTTTTTGCTTTTTCTGTTTTCTCAATGTTAGAGTAATCAAAGAATTGTCTCATCAAACTTTGAAATTCCAATTCGGGTTCACAATGTAACTATTCTTTACTTCGAGAAAAAAGTCATTAATTTCCACGTCCTATCTAACTAACCGCCATGGTCACGTGTACCATATCTACCTTAATCGTTTACATTTTTCAAAACAATGTAACATTAAACTGAAAAAAACAATTACAAAACAAATCTCCCCTGTAAAATACACTTGTTGCCAATGTCATGCTTATGGAAGGTTTAAACACATATTTACACAAGAATAGTTCTGCCATATTTCACCAACACAAATGTGAATTGCAGTTTTAAAGTTATGATATCATAGTACCATATATCGTTTGTTTGCAGATAATTGTTGTGAATGCTCGAGACTCTCATAATTTTCTCCCTCACATATCAACGTCGTTCTACATATATAAGTCTTATTCTTTTGTTAGTTGTATGTCCAGTGATGGCGAAGGCATTTTGGTTTGTCCCTTTTATTTGCATTATATTTGTATTGTACGTGTATGTGTATTTGAAAAGAGGAATGTTTATCAACTTGGTGATGTCATCCAGTAATATACACGAAAGGTTAGTGTCGAATGTGGGACAATATAGTGAAATCTACCTAACCATCATACACAATTACTGGTGAATGAAGCAATTATTACTCGAGGTGCGGGGCCGAAACTATACGAAAGCTAAACACATGAAAGTATAAAATGCTTCGCCACTGTAAGCTGTCGTGGTTCTGATAATCTAGAGCGCACTGTTCTAAAAGATAAAATAAAACAGTGAGTGGTAAATAAGCATTCACAGTGACTTAATTTAGATTAAATTAATATCTCTCATTTCACAACATTATTATATGGTATGATTCTAGGGGTATAGTTTAACACTTTCATAGTTGATACTGTGTTACCAAAAAGAAGTGAATTGTTGACCACAAAATTATACAGCTCAGTATTTACAGACAAACACATGTTACAAAAAGTGGATTCAAACCCACTAACACAACGTTAATCTTTTCATTTTTACATATTTTCTTTTGCA